GCAGAAGGAGAGAACCAACCCCTCAGCCCACAGCAGAAGGAGAGAACCAACCCCTCAGCCCACAGCAGAAGGAGAGAACCAACCCCTCAGCCCACAGCAGAAGGAGAGAGCCAACTCTCAAAGTTATCCTTTGACTTCCATGCTCAGGCTGTGGCAAGTGTAGACCCACACTCATGTACAGTCCCCGTCTCATTCTCTGTCTCTCTGTTTCTGTCTCTTTCATACACACACATATACACAACAACAACAACAATAGTAGTAGTAGTAAAGATAAATTTTTAAAACTCCCCACTGTACACAAAAGAATTCATTCTAACATCTTGACAGTCTTAGAAACAGGCACAACACTAGTCGAAGGCCTGTGAAGGGCCAGATTCCATGGCACCACTCACCTTGATGCTCACAGCTGCCAGTGCAGTGTGGGCTCGGCTGGGAACACTGGTGCTCTGGACGGGAGCACAGTTGGCTTACCTCCTGCCTTAAATTTAGGGAGAAGGCCAAGATCCCAGAAACTTTCCGGCACCTCTGGCTCGGCATCTCCACTCTGTCTCAATGTTCTCACGCAACTCCTGTTGGCCCCAACAGCAACAGTCCAGGGTTCAGAGCATGCCTTTGAGCTGGTCCAGGTACAAGGGGTTGTCTGCCTGCTTTGGAGTCTCCCTGCATGTAGGATGTTCTTTGTTTCTTTGTGCCTATTCATCTTTGGGGTTTATCAACTCCATGCTCTCCAAACACAATTGAGCTCTCTATTTCTGTCTGAGTCCTTCCGGTCCAGCCACAGATAACCCACCCCAAGATGGTGGAGCATCACTCTATAAACAGAACTTTTCAAATCTTGGTCTTTCTCCTTTCTCTAGCCATGGTCATTAGAAAAAGAGGCCTGAATAACATCTTACTGTTTGACTGTCACTATTTCCTTTAAATTGCTCACCAGTGTGTATTTTTCCATCATCCTATTCCCACCCCATTTTACAATGAGGAAGCCAAGGCTGACCCTCAGGGACGTCTGGGTGAATCACAGCAGAGGTTCAATGAACATCCTGGCCTGAGCCACCTTGCCTGGTCCTATACCAGTGCCTCTCTAAACAGAATTTTTGAGAATTGTCCACAGCACTTGTTAAGGTGCAGATTTCTAGGCCAGATGTGAAGGCACACATCTTTAATCTCAGCACTCAGAAAGCAGAGCCCAGCCAGGTCTATATAATGAGTTCAAAGTCAACCAAAGCTAGATAGTGAGACCATGTCTCAAAAGAAGAGTCATGCTTCCGGGCTCTACTCCCTGATTCAGTAGGTTAGCCTAAAGCCTAAGGGTGGGTCTCTAATGCACAGCCCAGGGATGCTGTTTAAGGGCCCTGCTTTGACAATCACTGCTGTTGATCAGCGTGATTTAAGCCATGAGTGTGACAGGAGGTAGAATGTGGAAATAATGGGAGCCTAGTCTTTTCATCAGAGTCTTTATACCACTTTCAAGGTCTCCTATGATATAGACTTTACAGGGTTTTATACCACATGGCTCTTCAGGTCCTCTACCAGCTACTTCACTCATTGCCTTGACAGAAGCACCTGCTTGTTTTCACCCACAGTTTAAGAAGGGGCATTCCATCGTGGTGGGGGCAGGGAAGCAGCTGTGTCCCCAGTCAGGAAGTGGAGAGCAGGTGGAAGTGAGTCTGGGTTATAAAACCTCGAGTCCCACCCCCAGTGACTCACTTCCTCCAATGAGGCTCCGCCTCCTAAAGGTTCCACAGCCTTCCCAAACAGTGCCACCAGCTGGGGGCCAAGTGTTCAGACTTGGCAGACACTTCACATCCAAACCACAGCAGGTCTGGGGGTTGATGTCTCTTTATATCATTTTATGGGATCCTGGAGACAGACACACTATTTCCCTACCCTGACTCCTGTTGTGTGTGCATGTGTGTGTGTGTGTTATAGCATAAAAGATAAATTTTTTCAGATCCTTTAAAAGTTTAAGAAGTCATGATTCATGAATATGAGAGCTATATGAAAATTAAAATGTTGGGGTTCCACGAAGTCTTATTTGAACCCATTCCTGCACATGTTGTCTGTCCTTGTGCCCTTTTATAAAGACAGCTGAGTAGCATAGTTTCAACAGGTCTAAAACTTCAGTGCCCTGTGATGCTCCCTCAAGACACGTTCCTGATGGCTGACCTGAAATTTCCTGACTTCTGTGCTAGGAGTTTTCTGGTAGGTAGAGTTACTCCCCAGGTTTTGCTTTTTGTTTTAAACAGTATATTCTACCTTTTTTTCCCCCTCCATAACTCCTGGTCTTAGGAAACATTTCATGGTTATCTGCTGGTTGTGGTGGGATGTAGTTACTATTCCAGGAATATTTCTTGGAACTGCACTATGAACCTTTTCCCCAGACAGAGACTGTGTTCAAATTGTGAAAGCAAACCTTCACATGTCCATAGGAAGCTCTTGTATAAACTGTAGTCAAATACAGTTTTGCCCTTTGGCAACTAGAAACCTTCAGAGAGAGCCCAGAATTGGGAAATCCTGGCTTCTCATCGGGGACAATGGCCTGGGAATACATGTACCTCTTCCTGAATGAAAAATGTTGATACATAAGTTTAAACAGCTGTGCAAACAGCATCCAAGTCTCTTGTAGATGTTTCCAGTGTTTTTCAGATAGATCTCTGTTCGTCTACAATGAACTGAATCAACCTTCAATAGAAAATGTTTTAGGAGACAGAATACAGAAGCACAGTTTTTTCCTAGTTCCTGTTCATGAAAGCATGTTACCACTATGGTTAGAGCAGGATTTGTTCCCTGAGATTTCACATATTGGAGATCTATCCTCAGCATGGCCAGGAAAAGGGGACTTTGAGGGGAGTCTGGTAGAAGGCTGGTGTTCTTAGATAGGAATCGGGAGTTTCTATGGGACTCCAGAGAGTATGTAAAGGAGAGAGTGGTAGTGATGCCCCTCCTCACCTATGGGCTCCCCCTGTGAGGCTACCCACCATGGTTTGGTACAGTCAGGAGGGGCCTCACCAGAGTCAGTACTATGTTACTTGAACTTTCCACCTCTACAACTGTGGCCTAGAACACATAAACCTCTTTTCTTCAAACAGTACCCAGCCTTGGATTTTTCTTTATTGTAACAGGAAATGTACTGATACATCAGGTAATGTATTTTTCTTATTCAAAAGAACATAGGGCTCAACCAGTTCTTCTTGGAAACATTAATGCTTCTTTGGCCTTCTGGGCAGATTATTACGTGATCCTTAGCCAGCACAAAGGCACAGCCTTTGCAAACCCCAACCTTAAACAGTTATGCCTTCTGAGTAGGAGACTGATTTCTTTGCCAGAGTAATAATTTTCGAGCATCTGTGTGAAAATCTTACATTCAGAGACATGCCAGTTTTGGCATGAGAGAATGGAAGAGCCATCTGGCCTCTCCGGGATTCTTTGGCTCTTCTTCCTGGAGTCACAGACACTGTGGTTGGGCGGTCTAGCACAAAGGCGTTCCCCAGGAGGGAGAACAATAGCAGGTCGGTAACAGTTGGAGCTTTTAACAGGAGGAAACAGGAGAGCATTCAGAAGCCTCCCTTTGAATGAGTGACTCACAGCTGACAAGGTGTGTGCAAGGTCAGGGATAGGAAATGTGGTCACGGTCCCGCAGCAGGGGAAGACCAATGTTTATATAGAGTTTCTGATTGTATGCTCCCTTAACCGATGGTTCTTGGCCCATGCGGAAGTACTACGAGCTATATTTAAAAGAGCAACTATTTTCCGAGTAGAGGAAGCAGAGAATACATTATAAGAAAGCAAGGAGCAAAAAGGACAACTTTGGAATACTTTGTGCATGTTAGGTCTTTGAGGATGGAGGGGCCACAAACGATTGGTTTTATGTCTTGGAGATTGGTCACCACAGAAGAAATTACTCCAGAGGCTGGCATTCCACAGCATAACTCAGCAGTGAAGTCCTATATGGTAGTTTTGTTTTTCTTGAACCCTGTTAAATGGCCATCTTCCTTGGCAAACAAAATCCTAAGTCCTGGAATTCCCAGAAACTAAAAAGGGAGCCATGGAGATAGCTCAGCTGGTAAATTCTTGCCATGAAGACCAAAGTTCTGCTCCCGGAATCCAGGTGAAAACAAAACAAAAAACAACCTGTACATGGTGGCATGCACCTAGGCTACAAAGACTGAGCTCCACACAGATGAATCCCTGATTAGCCAACCTGATCTAATTAGTGAGCTCCAGCACAAAGAGAGGCTCTATCTAGAAAACAGGATGACTGGCCCCAGAGGAGTGAAACACAGGCTTACACACACACACACACACACACACACACACACACACACACACACACACATCAAATCAATGTAATTTTAATTTTTTTTTTTTTTGAAAGAAGAATTGGCCAAGACAAAATTCACTGTCCAAGCAATTGTTCTGGAACGTGGGCTACAAACCAATCATGGTGGTCTAAGTTCTGTGTGAAATCAGATCCAGATCACTACATCTACCTCCTCCTTGCTCCTACAGGGGGAGAGAGAGTTGAAAAGCAGTAGTGTTTGCTTTAGTATGGCCCCTGTGGGGCAGAGTAAGGAAAGCTTTAGCCTCTCCATTGCTAGTCCAGGCTGACAACCCATTCAAAAGAGCAAAGACTTATGCAGAACAACCAACATGAGCTAAGCTAGCACTTCAGAGTCAACCATCATGAACCCTCAGCACAACTCCTTCAAAGGCACAATTCCAAAGATGCCCAGGAATCACACATAAAATAGAGAATCGGACTTCTCTTCTGGGGTGAGTAAAGAAGATGCACTTTTGCCAAATTTACTTAAAAGCAATTATCAGTCCCTGAGTTTTTAGAATGTCTACAAGGAAGCAGAAAGTATTAGGAGGAAGAACAACAACAACAACAACAAAATTGCAGGCAGCTACAAAAATAATTTAGAGGTTTTTCAGGCATGGTGGGAGGGGGATGCAACCCGAGCCACTGTTCCTTGACGATTCTGGCTTTAAACGCAGGAAAATGTAGGCACACGGACAGTGGGCCCTGCACAGCTCTGTGCAGCTGGCATTGCCAGCCCATTTAACCTTCGCAGTGACCTAGTAGAGTAAGCACTTAATAGTCTAATATTGCGAACGAGGAGTCAGGCAGAGGGCGGGCTGCTGCGCGGGTGCCAAGGCTCACGGCTGTGTGAGCAGCACAGCCAGTTTCTGGGCTCCATGCTCTTAGCAGCTGTGCTATTTGCCCTCACGGCCCGTGAACCTGAATGACGATTTTATCCAGAACACCAAGCCCACGCCACTGTGCAAATGACTGAAAGGACGGTTGCTGTTTCACCTTCTTATGTCTTAGCCAAAAAATTCTGGAGACTACTGTCCACCCCAGGTGATACGGGAAACAGCTGTATGACTCAAACAGAGCACGGCATTTCAACCCAGCACAATATCTGCATAGGTGTGGGTGTGTGGCGGCGGCGGCGGCGGCGGCGGTGGCGGCAGTGGAGGAGGTGGAGGTGGCAGCGGCGGAGGCAGGAGAGGGGGTGGTCTGAATGAGAAATGTTCCCCATTGTCGTGAACACTTGGTTCCTGCTTGTAGTGCTGTCCGGGAAGTTTAAGAGGTGTGTCTTGATGGAGGAAGTACATCGGTAGAGGCCGGCTTTGAGAGTTTAAAGACTCACTCCATTTGCAGTTCACTCTTTCTGCTCTGGGCTTGTTGTACAAGGAGCTTGCCTGTCCCACCATGATGGAGTCTTTCCCTCGGGAACTGTAACCCAAATAAACTCTTTCTTCTGTAAGCTGCCTTGGTGTTTGTGTGATTATGTGTGTTTATTGATGTGTGTACATGTGCACGTGGGTACACATGTGTATGGAGACCAACAGTTGATATCAGGTGCTTTTCTCAATTGTTCTCCATCTTATTTTTTGTAGCAGGGTCACTCACTGACTGGCTAGACTGCCTGCCTGAGTGAGCCTCAGGGATCCAGCTATCTCTACCTCCTTAACACTGGGATTATAGAAAAGCGCCACCATGCCCAACTTTTTACATATGTGCTGGGAATCCAAACTCATCTATCCAGCCTCCAACACTTATGGGTAAAGTGACGATTAGGACCTTTGCTGGGGGCTTTACATCCCAGTTGGATGTGAAGAACACAGGAGACTCCTAAGGTCAGATATTTGGTAAATGATGATGCTTCTTGCTCATTCTTCTTTCAAGGAGCAAATGCCAAAAGACTGTAGACTTTTCTTTGCAGGATGCCACAGACACAGCAGCAGCCAGTGAGTGACATTCCCTCTGGATTTGATGCAGATTTGATGGAGTTTTAGGCTGTATCCATGGCACCCCTCTCCAGAAGGCTTGACCTGTGTGTGCCAGGATAATAGGTTCCATTCCTACAGAGGGACTAGCAGGTGTGCCCAAAGCAATTCTAATGTGCCAGGTGTGGAATGATCTAGTTTTTGCCGGAAAGGGGCTTCAGTACTCAGTGGCAGATGCTATGGTAGATGCAACCAGAGAAGGGGGAGGAGCTGAGGTAACAGCAGTTCTCTCTCTGACACAAGCAACACCTCCTTGCCACAGACAACAGTCACATGGAGGATTCCAAGTGATTTGTACAGGGAAGAAGGCAGCTGTATGAGAAACGGGCGGCCGCTGGTGAGCTAAGGCCTGTAGCCATGTGGAATGCAGACCCCTCTGCCCTTCTCGTTGACCGCTCCTGCTTCCCCGTTTCCCTGTTCTTCTCTTCGGAGCACCTTTGATCTGGTCACATGCTGATCTGACTTTGGCACTCCTACCCCACGGCAGTCCTCATCACCATGGCAGCATCTGAGCACCCCAACAACGCACTTCTACAAAGGCCCCATTTCTAAAGCCAGGCTCGCAAGTGCCACAGGTTGGGGTCTGAACTTCTCTCGTGGGATATGGAGGCACTGTCTCACCCATAACACTTGGATAAGCAAGGAAGGGATCCCATGTGGTTTCTGACAATGCTCAGTGGATGACCTGTAACCTCCCTGGAGACAGCTGCCACTTTTGAAAAGACAAGGTCAAACATTTGAACATCACTTCTAGGTTGAGCAGGGTACGAATCGATTTTCCCTCTGTTTACTGTCTTCTTTCCTCTTGGTCCTGCTGCTGAGTTAGAGCTGGCAAAGACTTTGCTCAATACTCCGTCCTACCCTCAATTTCTGGTGTAATCACAGAATAAGCTAAGTGGACTCTGTGTGCACACCAATCCCCCCAGCTCCCTCCTGACCTGGAGACACAGCTGGCCAGCCAGAGCCATGCTTGCCTGCAGGAACGTTCCCTGCCCTGCCGGTCTGTTCCCTTCATTTACTTCTCATTCTCCATTCTCTCACTCCTCACCTACACAACCAGACTCCCAGGCGTTCTTCGTACCTATTGTTCAGCTGCCAGTTGGCATAAGCACTCTATTTTCTGCCTTTCTCCCCACAAACACCTTTGTTTATACAGAACACACAGTTTGGCCTCTTGTCTACAGACAAACTGTCCTATCCTTGGGCTGCAGGTGCTAGAAGCCAGCTCCAGACTGAGTCAAAAAGCCCATGGTGTTGTTTTTCAATTAAAAAAAAGTTGGCAATTCATAGACATACAATATATTATAATTATATTCCCTCGCTACCCTCCCTTCTCCCCTCACATTCCTGCTGACCCCCCTTTCCTTCCCAACCAGCCGCTCTTGCTCTTATGTATTTGTGGAGTGGGTGGGGGCTCTTGTGCAGGTATCCAGAGCTTTTGTTCTGTGTGTTCATGATAGCAATGCCATAGCCAGAAGACAGCACTCCTAACAACCCACCCCTTCTGCTGTGACATTTCCTGCATCTTACAGAGGATAATAAAGATGTCCTATAAAGCAATGAGGATTCCACAATTACACATCATAACACTGACCAGTCATGTCCCCGGACTAACCATTCCCTGCTGCAAAAAGCAGCTTCCCTGACCAAGACTGAAAACAGCACTAATCCATGGGTGTTGGTGTAGATATTTAGAAGGCAGTTTGGCTACGTGCCCACTTAGCAAAAGAGCAGTAATGGATTCTCCACCCAGGCCTATGATCTCTGCAGCCGCATGCTTTCAACCAGGTGTACAGTACCAGGCATGCATTCCTTCCCAGGAAGCAGGCCTCAAATCTGATCAGAAAGTAGCTGGCCATCCCCTAAACCCTCACAAGTGCTATCATACCAGTGGGCAAGCCTTGCCTGGCAGGTCAGGACTGTGGTCTGCAGGGCTCACAGCTGGGTCGGGAGCATCAATGCTGCTCCCTGGCAGTCTGCAGAGCACCAGGAGCTCCACTCAGCAAGAAGGAAGCTTCCATCACAGTTTCCGCTTGATTTCCGGGTTCTGAATCCAGTCTGTGGTGTCTTCAGTGACAGCGCTTGGTTATTTAGTTCTAGTAAGCAAGCGAGAACAGTGGTAACCGCCTGTAATAGGGTTGTTTCAATGTCACCTTGCCACAAATTAGTCACCTGAGGAGCCTTACCTGAGAACTGGCCTGATTGACAAGGCAGGTTCACCTGATTGTGGTGGCGCCTCCAGGTAGGAGCTCAGGTTGATTAGAAGGCAGTGTTTCAGAAGGAAGTTCATTGCCTTACCTTTTGCTGCCTTGGCCTCCCTCTTGCCAACAAGTTGATTTACGCTGTTGTTGTTGCTGCCAATTTCTTCACTGATAGCCGAATCGGCATTTTCTAAGTATTCATCCTGCAACAGGAGTCAGCAGCTCTCCAGGAATTCCCCAGGTTCCTGACACCTGATTAGACCTACTAGGATTGGACCTGAGGCACCCAGCCTCGAGGAGTGATAGACAGCCATTCTGGACTGCTTCAACTTTGGCTTCAACCTCAAGGACTGACACTGGATTCTCAGCATCTCTAATACACACACACACACACACGAGAGAGAGAGAGAGAGAGAGAGAGAGAGAGAGAGAGAGAGAGAGAGAGAGAGAAAGAGATACCCCTTGGTTCTGTTCCTCTATAGGACCCTGACTGAAATAGCCTATAGGAGGATATCCCAACAACAACTCATAGGTATCTCACACCTGGCACTGGTAAGAACCCATGGCTTGTGGGAGCAGCAGCATCCACCCATGCAGGGGACGGAGGCTCGAGATTTTTACAAACTGCAGTACAGCTGATCTGACGTAACTGCCACTCTCTGGCCACACTGCACCTTGTACCTGCCATGCTGCTTCCTGTGGACAATGAAGGAGTGGAGCTCACAGCACTGGCAAGTACCAAATACAAGAAGGAAGAAGAGCTTAGGACGTGAAAGGCAGTCCCGGCCAACCTCATGTTTGACCCATTTACCTCCGCGGTAACAGGCACATGCCAGTCACACCATGCCTGGCCTCTCCGTACCTGAGGACAAGTAAGAGCTACCCAAGTGCCCTGCAGAAGTGTTTTCACAGGTTCCAGGGAGCCTACCCTAAGGCTATACAGAAGCTCGTCCAGGCTGGAGGCAGAGCTGGTTGTCAGACTGAAGGACACATGTTCAGCATCAAGGTGATCCTGTGCCCTGGAGGCCAGCGAGGGCAACAGAAACAGCATTCTCTGTGACAAGACCAGAGGGCCAACAAAAATGACAGCTCCTCAAGTGTGTGAGCAAAAACGGAGGGTCCAGGGGCTGACTCAGCGACCACGTCCCAAGACTTTTGGGGTCTTGGAAGAAGGGACCTTCTGAAGGGGACTCCCACATAGTGGGAGCTCCCTTTCAGACCCCAGAGTAGGCATGGACCACATTCAAACACCTGTTTTCATAGAGAGATCCTTTATTAAGCAGGGAAGAAAAGTTAAAGTGGCTGCTTTCCAACTCAGAAAAACAGCAGCAAATGACCTTGCAGATCTCGTCCTTAAGAGAAAGGAGAGGTCTGTGTTAGAATGGGCTAGGGTGCAGTGGTAAAGGAGATGGGGATGAGACAGGAGAAGGGGACAAAGGACAGGGACAAAGGATGGCCTCTGGATAGAGAGGGGACAGATATGGCCCATAGGCAGATGACAGATTATAAAGGTAAAAGGGGAAAACCCTGCGTCAGGATGACGTGGTTTATTTTAATTGAGCATGTTAATTAGGTGAGTCAAAGGGGGCTTCTGATTGCTGGATTTCAATACTTTGATAGCTGGACCTTGGTAGTCAGCCTCAGAGGGAGTGGCCAAATAAAGGAATAGACTTGATGACCACCTTTAGGAGTGTAATCTGGCGGTTTTTCGAAAGGCAGAGGGAATGGGGGAGAAGGGCACAGCCTGTCAGAGCCACGCGCTCCAGTGGGCCAGTGTCCCTTCACCTTTACTCCTGCGTGTTCCAGTCTCATGTCAGCTCTGTACTCACTGCCCCCGCTGCCATTGTGGCTGAAGGTAAATCTCTTCCCTATATCCACACAGCTAAAGAGAATTGTTCGATTGGAGCTTCATGCCAGTCTGAGATCTTCCTGACTCAACCAGCTCTTGACGGTTCAAGGGTAGCACAGAGCTTGTCCTGAGGGCCAATGAGCTTCAGCAAAT